GAAAACACATGGCAGTTTAACAAAAAACATCAATAAACTACAAGAACTAAGAAAACTGAGAATGAAACTGATTTGGAGTACATGGTATTAACACAACATTGACTACAGATTTGCTACTTATGTGACTGACAAACGGAGTGTCACTGTGTTGACTCGTTTACATATGAAAATCATCAGAAAACAAGAATTACAGAAATCACATTTAAATAATATAAAATTTCATTGGTTATCAATTCCTCCACTCACTCAAATCAATAAATGATATTCCAAAAGACATGATATATATTATTTACAATTCATTTCAAACATTTTATTATATCACCAAAATGAATGCCTGGAAGGCAGGGGTAAAAAAAAAAAAACTTCTGAAAATCCTGACATTTCCAAATATGAAAGACTGTAAATTGCAGGATCAAAGCTAAGTGTCAAGCTTGGAATATGAGGGACTATTTACATATGGCTGTATTCACTGTATTTGGTCTTCAAGTAGTTGGCAGTGTGCTCTCAGCCAGCCTGAATACTAGGACTCATCTGTAGTGGAAAAAAAAATGAAAATTTAAATGTTGTATGATCTGATGATGAAATATTTTCAACGTGTATTTTTGTGTGTGTCCATGTCTACTAAATTCTCGTACTAAGTTTGGATTTCAATATCCACAAGTGCATTTACACTGGACTTAAAATAACAAAATTTCTTGAAAGCCTGTTAGGCTACCAGGTTTAAAAGTTGTTGTCCTATAGTAATACTGGTTAATCCATTGGGTTTAATAAGTAATAAAGCCAATAAATTAAAACAATAAATAAATCTCACTTTGCTCACATTTGCATAGGATTGACAGCTACAAGAAGAAGCATAGTACTGTGGAATACTTTATTTTTGCTGGAATTAATTTTCGCTGAAAAGGCTTTTTAGGCATTCTTTATGGAATTTATTTTCACTGATTTTTGATGAGTTGAATGTGAAATATAGGAAAAAAAGTATATTCGCTGGATTTTATTTTCACGGAATCATCCCTTCAGCGAAAATAGCGAAAATAAATTCCAAGCGAAAATAAAGTATTCTACAGTATACAGCATGCAGAGTGGATGTTAAAGATTTCAACAAGACTATTTGTACTTTACCTGATTCATCGGCATTAATTTGATTAATCTGCACTTTCGGAACACCATCAGTCTCTGGAGCTATTTCTGGAGCCGTCTCTGGAACTTTCAAATTCTCAGGATTTCCAACTAATTCGCTCTCGCCTCCACTTTCTAACGCCTCTAATGCAGCTTTGACAGCTGTGTTCTCAGCTTGCTCTTCAGCAATCTTTTCTTCTAATTCAACCTGTGAGTTGGAACACAAACTCATGATGTCCAGGTACATAAAATCACAATACGTAAGGGCGTCTCCCATATACAATGCTCCAAAAGTAGAATTACAATTATTGACCAGTGTGTGCACGTTAGAAAGCCACATGCTTTAGTTTACTTAGGAAATATATACGACAAATGTCCCAAAGATGCAGTTGTGTGCAAATATGTTTAATGTTAACCAGTCAGAAAATGTCAAGATCTATTTTCCTAATGTACAAGCATAAACCAATGTCATTTATCAAATCATATCAATTGGTGACATTTCAAACTCAAACGTCACTGTGTGAGATATGTACCGTAATTATATGTGGATAAAGTATGCATTACAAACTACACCTTGAGGCTTCAAATACATTTTTAAGTTTCAAATTGTGAGAGTTTGTTACCTGTGAGAGACTAGTAAACTCAGGAGGCAAATCATCAATCGTAACTTCTTGCTCCTCTTCCACTTCTGTGCCACCGTTCATCTGAGGACTAACTGTCACTTCTTTGTCTTCTATTGGCTTCTCAATAGTGTCTGGTACAATGACCACCTCTCCCTTTTCTGTTGAATCTGTCTCTTTTTCTTCGTCGCTTTGTTCTTTCTGCTTCACAATCACTTCTGTAGTAATGGCATCCTATAATCAAAAGTTTCAATGTTTTATTAATTCACTACATGGAAATGCAATCAGGTTAAACAAGACAGTTTCATCAGAATTTTTTGGTAATTTTTTTTTATACTATGTGAAATAATTTGTAATCATTTATTCAACTTGAACACATGCAAAATACAAAAGAATAGGGTTAACAGAATTTTTTTTGTAAATATATGGTTTTTAATAGCTTGTCGCAGTAGAAGGGCTGTCAAAGGTATTTTCACATGAAAACTTGTGTCCACTTCAAACTTATAGTACATCACACAAAATGCACCTTTATAATCATTCTCTAACCAGTAGTTTGTGACACACATATATGGGTCGTTATACACTGCACAAACATTGATTATTCAGTGAGTTTTAATAGACCATTTTCCGTACACTGCGAGAATCACGCGTTATGCGTGAAATCGAACGTAAAAACAGGACAAACAAAGGTCATAGCGTCGTAGTCGCGTCAAACATCGCGTGGGTATTTCGGGGACATTTCCATGCTTAATAATGTGCTGTTCACATTTGATGATAGGCAATTTTGATGAAGTAAGGGTATTCGGAAGCAATATTCCTCTGTCGAAGATCGGCCGGTCAATGTAAGCTGCGAAATAAAGAAATTCTAGTTCAAAATCAAATCGTTCGTTTTTTGCGGCAGACGTTCGACGCGCGTCTTTCATGCATCTCGCGAGATCTCGCAATTGTTCGGAAAATCACC